TCCTCGCGGTCATCCCTTCCCGATGCAGATCTTGTACAAATCTGGTCTGAATCCAAGTGATCTTATCTGCCGAGATTGAGGATTTCCTACCGCGAGGCATTTTCGGCTGCTTAGCTCAGCGAGGTCCCGGCAGTGCGGACAAGGAGGAGGCTGAGGGAAGCCTTCCTCCCCATCCTGTGGTCACTTGGCCTCATGCAACGGCTCCACTTGGGCACTCGAGGGCTGCCCCCAGGCTCCATCCTCCCTGTCCATGGAAAACTACCCTGAGCGGATGCAGCAGCATGGGGCAAACCCATCCACCCCTCGCTGCGCTCCCGAGCGCCGGTCACGCAGGCTCCATGGTGGGTGACGCTGCGGGCGCAGGGCAGGTTGTGTCTTCTCCAGCAGCTCACACTGCTGGCTCACGTGTGGATTCCCGCACCGGGGCCTTGCCGGGCACACGGCCTCCTCCAGGATCAGCTGCAGCCAACGTGTGCAGCCTGCACGGGGATCGAGGGACAAGCCTGGCCTGGGCTCTTTCCCCACTGTGTGCCCATGGATACTCCACTTGCTGCTGCCTTTCCCAGGCGGGGCAGAGAGACACGGAGGCCGTGACATGTGGCAGGGATCTCCCTATGGCATAGAGGGATTGGGCAAAGACTGGGAAGGACAAGAAATTCCCCTCAAAACGCGAGCAGTGGCGCTTCCTTCCACCTCGTGGGCGTTGAAGACGGCTTGCGCCCACCCCTCTGTGCTGCACGAGGTTGTTGGTGCCTCTCTCCATCAGGGAGAGGTTCCTCCTCATTCCCAGTCTGGATCCCCGCATCTCCTCCCTGCACGGCTATTCCCAACTCAAGCACACAAGCCGCACATCATGTGTTTACCTGAGAGCCTTCTCCTTGAGGAGATCCTCTTCCCACTGATGCAACGTCTTCTGTGGAGCCCACGGGACCTTCCTGAGGGCTGCTCGCTGCCAGTGCCCGCGGGACGGGCTGCCTCCCGCACCGATGCTCCGCATGTCACGGTGGGGCTTGGCATCGCTCAGGAGGCTGTCAGGGGGCAGCCGGGGTGCAAACACTGCCCACCTCACCCTGCCAGCGAGGCGAAACCCGCGCTCGCCAACCGAGTTACGCTTCCTTCCCGCTCGGTACAGCGCGGCCGTGCGTAAATGGATGCAACAGACCCTTTTAGAAGAGCTACAATACAAACATAAATTCTCCCGTTAAATCAGCAAATGTTTGTCTGGAATCTGTCCAAACCAAGGAGAGGTTAACGCATTCCTGGGAAACACATTAAATGCCGCGTGCACCAGTTCTTCCTAATGGCGAGCAGTGACGGCACAGCTCATCCTGCGCCACTTTGATAACCATTGGACCCATAGTGGGCTTCACATTAATTTTCTCTGCAACTGACATTTAGGTTTGATGCACTTAATACAGCAAGAGCATGGTATAAATAAGTAATTTATACCCTAAACACCTCATTTTTTTTTCTCTCAGCCAATTGGCAAAAAGCAAATGGAGAGCATATCTTTTAAACCAGTAACTACTTATCGCACCTTTCACTGCACAGGAAGCTGCTGGAGTTGTGATAAACATAATCAAACTATTAAAGTAAGAAATATCTGGCTATGTGGTTTCCGGGAAATGGTGCCTCAAACAAACCACAGCTCCTACCAAAAGAGACAATATTTGAGGTGCTTCTGCAGCTAATGGAGCAGTGGAGAGCGAGGGAAGGAAGCTGCAGAGAGCACACACTTAGAATCATAGAATCATAGAATGCTTAGGGTTGGAAGGGACCTCTAGAGATCATCTAGTCCAACCCCCCTGCATACGCAGGGACACCTAGAGCACGTGGCACATTATTTCCTTAAAGACTGGCAACAAAATCCTATCCATTTTTTTTATGTTAATGAATTAAGCTAATTGCAACCTGCAAATAGCTAGTAATTGCTAGGAGCCCCATGCACTGCAGATTAGCGAAGGAGGCTGCTGACCCTGCGGGTGACAGAAGCAGCGGGGCTCCAGCTTCGGTCAGAGCCTGCAAGCCCACGCTTAAAAGAGACACCCTCGAATTTGCAAGTCCCCTCCTTGATTTCATCTACCTTTGTCTGGGTAAAGAGAAAGTTGTTATTTTGCACACAATCTGCCCCAGAAGAGAGCCTGCCTGCCCAGCCCCTTGCTTCTGGACTGGTTCCTGCCGCTGCCTGTCGAGGAGCACTTCCTCTTTCATAAATCACGTTTTGCATTCTGAGCATGCGTCTCTTCTTCCGTGCCATTTTTGTTTTCAGATAACCATTAGCTTAATTAATCAAGGGAAATGCATTATTTCTGATCGCCTGCTCTGCCAGCCAAGGCCGGGATGGCGGGGAGACGCTTCGCGCCGCAGCGTGGCCGGGCAGCGCGGGGCCAGGGCTCCTCTGCACGGCGCACGCATCCTGCCCGGCCGCTGGGGTGAAAACCCTCTCAAGGCTCAGCACAGCTAACGGGCAAAATGTTGATTTAATCACAGCTTAGCTATTTCCACTTGCTCTCTGCACATGGGATTAGGTTGTTAGATTTTGGGGTTCCCGGTCTCCTCCATGCAGGTGGGAAAAAACAGCTACTAAATGTCCATGGCACAAGTTTCACTTGACCTTGGAGTGCAAACTGCAACCAGAGCTGATCCTGCCAGCTTTGACCTCATCCACACTAACAACTTGAACAAAACAACTGGGGGGAAACAAGTTTTATGGCCTAAAACACCCCTACAAGCATTTCCAGCATGGTCTAAACACCTTGGAGAGCAGATCTCAGCTACACCAGAACAACAACCTGTTTGCAACAACAGCATCCACGTTCAAGATGGCTCCTTCTCCATACAAGCTCCCATATCTGTTCAAATCACAAAAAAACTGCATGCGCACCCAGAATCACTGGTTTTCCTCAGCATGACTCCAAGCCACCTTGGGAAAGCATCCTGATCCAGGAACGGGAGCACCCATCCATGTACTTAGGTTGACAGAGCTAATGCAGTTGAGTTCCCACTGCAGACGATACCTGGCTGGACACTGCATCCCACTCCTCAAGGTTTGCGGAGAGGGTTGCTGAGCTGAACTTGTATTTAATTACAAGAAGGCCTGGGAAGATGAGGGGACAGCACAAGCAGGGAGGAGAGAACAGCAGTGCCCGCACACGATGCCACGGCAGGAAGGGGACGAAGGCTGAGGGGAGCTGCCACTGCTGGTCCCTCAAGCAAGGCTGAAGTTCGTGGCCATGGCCATGCAGGTAGGTCTGCAAGAGCGCTAATGTGATTGCAAGGTCCGCTTCACACCGCGCCGTCTGCTGCTCACCAGCTCGAGGCTCCTGCACGCACACATTAAACTGCAGTGACAAGACTTCAGCTAAGATCTGTCCCAGAAAGCGGAGAAATCGCCTTAAAGCAAGAGCCTAGAGGCAAGCCAGGCTGCCAGCAATGCCACTCTTGCAACCACTCTATTCAAAGGAGTCACTACATGAACGCTCAGATCTAGCTGGAAGCATCATCACTGAAAACCCGTGGGCTGGGACAGGCCAGGCCGTGCGCTGCATCCCGCACTGCAGCTGCACAAAGCCAGGACAGAGCGCATGGTGCCACATCGCCACCTCCATGGAGCCATTTTGTAAAGAATTATGCCCGGAACAGCACGTGAATTTGAATTTATCACCTGTTCATCGAGTTCAGAGATTGTCCGGTTTGGACTATGTTGCTTTCCAAAGCTGCTCAATTCCTCTTCCAGTCATGATGCTCCCCAAAACTGAGAGTTATTATAATTCTGTAATTATAAAGTGCACTAGAGTCCCAGTTTCAGACCTTTGATAAGGAGCAACTGTCCCCAGCTGCAGGAACCGTCCTGGCCTGCACTGCCAAGACACCTTGCAGATCTGCTCCTCGCACTTCATCCAGCTCCCTCGGCTTTGGAAAGAGCAAGGAGCCGGACTGCATGGGGTGCAGGAGCACGTGTGCTGCTGCCTGGTCCTCCCTGGGGAGGGACCAGGGACAAGCAGGTGCCTGTCCACACTGCAGAGCGCTCACCTGCACCCTTTGGGGGAAAAAAACAGGGATATGTTGTACGCTGCTTGCATCCTGTAAGAGGCAAAGTGAGCGCTACACCCCAGCTCTCATTTTAACCTGCCAGCACCCAGCTGGTTCTCCCCATGCAGAGGCTCTCTCTGCCACCTGCATGCAGTAACAAATGCACTCCAAATCCCGGTAGTTTTTGTAAAGGTTTATAGTCCTTTGCAATGATTGCATGATACATTTCTTCCCCCGTGACGCAGCCCTCGGCCGGGGAAGCGCCGCTGGCAGCTCGCGCTCCACCTGTGCAGCTGGGCTCGCGATCTACACTAGCTTCAGAACATCAAATGCACTTTCAACATCTCCATTTAATATTTACATTCAAGCAATTAATAATTGGAAGCTTATAGTTTAGACATTTCTAATAGCAGCAATTTCTATAATAGCTCGTTTAGCTTTAGATAACAATTTTTTTTTTTTGCACATAGAAACACCACATGTGTACAGTATCAAAAAATATATACCGGGGATGGTCCTGCGGTTGTAAGGAGGGCAAGGGGTCGAGACTAACAAATGCTCCATGGTTAAAAAGGAGAACAGAAAATAGTCGTTTGATATAGTTTATAAGATGATCTGGAGACTCCATAAATCTAGGCTTTATATTTCATTATATAAATACCTACAAATAAATATATTAGCGTGGCCAGAGAGAGACCAGCTTTCAGCTCGAACAATACATTTCAATAACACCACGTACAAACGGGAGCAAGAATCACTCGACAAGTTAGCACTGTTAAAATATAATACTATGCAACTCTGAGTAACTGGCAGCCCCATTGCCGCACTGCCCAGTGCCGGGGTGGCCTCCGCAGCGGGGACAGGGACCACTGCGGTGTCCTGCCCGCGGTCCCCGGCACAGGCTCTGCCGGCACCGTGGGCCACTGGCCCCAGGGAAGGGGCGTCAGTACCTGCGAGGGGGCGCGGGGCTGGTGCCTCCCATGGGGAGCAGCCGGGCACCCCGCTCACACCGTCACGTACTCCTTGAAGGTCACCGTCAGGCAGTTCGCCGTCACGTCTGTGATAATTATATTCCCAAAGAAGGGCTTGAATTCCTGCAGGGCTTCAGCCTCCTCCTCCTCCTCCTCCTCGGTGGCCCCGTGGGGCTGCGGGGGCTCCGCGGGTGGCTTCTCCGACGGCACCAGCGGCGCCTCTGGCTTCACCTGCGCCGCGGCCGGCTCGCCCTCGGCCCGCGGCTTCACACAGCGCAAGTCTATGGGCTCGTCCAGGTCCGAGTCCAGCAGGATGACCTCGGGCGGCGCGGGCGGGCCGGGCGCCGCGGGCCGTGCCGGGGGGCTCACGCACGG